AAGGAAAGGGGAGGAGCGGAGGTTGGAGGAGCGGAGGTTGGAGGAGCGGAGGTTGGAGGAGCGGAGGTTGGAGGAGGTCCATTTTTCCAGCAGCTTCTCTCTGCCTCAGCCACGAATCCCCGTCCTTGTGATCTGACCAGAGTCGTGTCTTCACATCAGTCTCCTCTGGGTTTCTGTTCTGGAATTCACTTTTTTATAAAATATTTTCTCTTAGATTTTACCCTATGATTATTTGTCCCTCTGTACATCTTTAAACAGGTTATTTTAAATAAAAATAATAATAATAATAATGAAGAGTTCATCAGGCTGTAGGAGAACACTCAGTGGAGGAGTGGTTAGCTCTCTTGCCTTACAGCAAGAACAGGTTGTTTGTTGGTTCAATCCCTGGTTTTTCTTGATGAAAACCACAGGTGTGAATGACTGGTGTGAATGACTGGTGTGAATGACTGGTGTGAATGACCGGTGTGAATGACCGGTGTGAATGACTGATCTTATATCATAACGTACACTGACAAGACATCAAGTTTTAACGTCTGTGTCATAAATCCACATCATTCACACACTCAGTCAGATCAGCTCAGGTTTGTTTGGTGACGTCACTTGTTCAACTATAGGTTATTTTAGTCCCAGACAGTTTAGCTCCATCTGCTGGAAGTTTTCCAAACCACAACTGTCCTGTGTTTGTTAATGTGCTGGATTTATTTAGCAGTAGTTGCATATTTGTGACGTCAGCACACCAAATGTGTGTGTGTGTGTCGGTGTGTTTGTGTGTGTGTCGGTGTAGGTGTGTGTTTGTGTGGTGAAGGAAATTGAAAACGTCCAAAAAAATAAAAAATAAAACTGGAAAAAAAAAACTGCTGGACCTAGAAAAATCTCACCGTCATCTGCCGGCAGCCAATCACAGAAAACTCCACCCACCGTCTCAAAAATGAGTTCACACACACACACACACACACACATCTGGTTTGCTGATGTTATACTCTGATTTATATTTATATTAGCTGAAAAATTCTTTCTCCTCTGAACCTTTTTTCTTTCTCTGGCTTTTAGCTCTGGACTTTTTTAGACCTATGTTAACCCCCCCCCCCCCCCTCACCCCACACATACACACACATACACACATTCACATACAATTGCATTCATGCATGCACAAGCCTGCACACCGACTCTGACACCTCCACATAAAGTGGCTCCAGTGAACAGTGTGGTTCATAGGAGGGGCGGGGGTCTGACCGGGGCCGCTCTTCACAGTCACACGGACAAACTTGTATCAGTGTCGAACGGCTGAGGCTGAGGCTGAGGCTGGAAAATCAAATTAGTCTTTATTT